ATTATATATTTCATGCGTGTCCCCTGCGTGTCCTACATTTTTTGAAAGTTGGCATGTCTGCATGTTCGTATCGCATATGTGTTGTGTCGCGTGTCCACGTCTGTGCTTCTTAGTACCTAGGATTTGATTGCGTCACACAATCCGTAAGAAAGTTTCAAAGCTTCTAAAATTCTCTAATTTCAACTCTATTAACTTAGAAGCATTACACGACTTTATATAAGCTTTAGAGATTTCCTATTCCAACTAGAACTAAAAAAGAAAACCACTAAAAATACTGTGACTTTCAAAACTAATTTAAGGCCAAATAAGAACAATAAATTAAAACTAATTAAATAACTTGATCCACAAGACAACCCAAGGGCAACCCCTACAGCCCATGTCAGCAAATATAAAAATTACCAAAATACCCCTGCCCTAAAAATCCTAGAAAACTTAAAAATAATAATAAAATAACACTCTAATAATATTAGAAACATGATTATATATGGTTCTTATTGGTTTTTCTTTGAAATCATGCCAACTTTCAAATATTGTCGCTTCTTTGAATTTATGCTTCCTTGAGCTTCTTATACTTTGCATCATTTGCCAATATCTTTAAATTGGAAAACAATTATTGATGGATAATATAACAAAGAGACCAACTAATCATATACCATTTAAACAAATCTTTTTATATAATTGCTCACGTGCTTTACCAAATATTCACAATTACAAAATATTCTCAATCATGATACTTGATAGTCATGATCAAAATGACGTATATGCTTGAATAAAAATATATCTAAAAGTCAAAATTGAAAAACACTAGTGGTCCATGCCTAACACAAGCAATGCAATACAATCCTATAAGTGTATAATGATCATTCTCATTAAGCATACCACCATCATCATTGTAATCTAAAAGTAGAGCTAATAAATTATATATGTTAAAATATATAAAAAAAAAGCTCGATTTAAGCTTATTAGATAGAATGTTTTTAGTGCAGTGTTGTAAATATGCTTC